CCCCAGGTATGGGGGCCTATCTCCTCACCATACTCCCTGCCATTGGTTCTCTGTGTCCAGGACTGGGTGCTCTGGTTTGGTCTGGCTCACTCCCAGTGGCTGCTTGCTGGGGATTGGTCCCCCTGGCTAGGTCGGGCCCCTTCCGGAGTGAGGAGAGCCCTCAGGTCTCTGAGCCCGGGGCTTGGTCTGCACTGGCGTAGCCAGCTGCCAGAGGAGCCTGCAGTCTTGTTGCCGTGTCCCCATGTGTGGGGCCTGGATCTCCACCATGTCTGCTTCATGTCCTGAGGGGCAAGGCTATGGCTCCCCACACCTATTATTAGACAGTTACATGGAGAAACCTTATGAATACAAGCACACTTACACACACGGGTGTTCAGACAGGTGTACAAACAGGCAGTGTTGTGGAGTAACCTCATGGGCAGTGTAGCCCAGTATTAAGTAAGCTATTAAAAATCTAGTTGGTATTGGTATGGCGACTATCCTTTAGTAATAGTAATAAATCACACAGCAGTAGCACATTCATGTGGTCGTAAAAAGCTTGATAATATGTTAAGTAATCCAAAGTATTCGGAATACATTACTCTCATTGAGTAACGTAATGGAATACGTTACAAAATCCAATGTTGGGGCATGTATTCTGTAATCTGTAGTGGAATACATTTTAAAAGTTCTTCTTCTCAACACTGCAAACAGGTATGCTGCACAGTAACATTCAATATTTATTATTTACTGTATGTTGGTTGTTGCTGTGGTTTGCCTTTCTTTTTGCTTGTTTTTTGTTTTGGCAGGTGATCAAACAGATTTTCAGTGTCTTTTTTCTCTCCCTTCTCCTCTATGTTTCTTTCACTCTCCTTCTGTTAACTCTCTCCCGATTTTCCTCTCTCTTTTTCCCATCCCCCAGTCCTGTCCATTTTGATAGTAAAAGCTTAAAAGTACAATAAATAAATAAATAAATAAATAATAAAGATCGAATAAACTATGACAATCAAGTTGAACAATATAGCAAAAGCACCAATTGTCCACTTTGGGAAATAAAATAAGTTTTACATTACAGTGTCTATATAGAAAACAGGATGCAGAATTAGATCTGGTTTTTTGTCTTGTGATAACACAGTTATTGCTTCCTAGAAATAAAATAATTTGTCATTCATATTCAGTTATTATTAATGCTATGACTTCTGTCAACCAGTTATTGTTTTTCTTCTATTTTAGGCAAGTCGCTGTATGTCCAAAGGTTGTACGAAAAACTTGAGAGAAGTGTTGATGAAGGAAAAGCCTTTAAAAAGTGCATCAGGCTAACTGAACATGAAGTTGACGACCACAAGATTCTCCAGTTTTTATATGACACACCAAAACAAAAAGATATTAAGGTGTTTCACTTTGATGTCACGTCCTCGGTAAGCAATTTAATGTAACTGTAGTGAAATATAAGTTTATTTATTTAAATGTATATTGTGGTTCTGATCAAATAATTTGCTTTTTTAGTAACACAGACTTATTTTCTAACACCTCATTTCCAGGTGCAAAAGGGCCTGAATGAATTCATATTCAAGCTTTTCTTTTTGCGGTACCTGATGGATTCAAATGGACAGATGTGGCAATGCAGCCAGAACCACTTATATGTTATTGAGTTACTGGAGTCCACAAATGATCAGAACAGATGTGATACCAGATTGGTAAGTGGAGGTATTACTTTTAGTGAAGTATTCTTCTTATGAAATCATCCAA